GTTGCAGTGTTGAAAAAATAAATGAGAGAAATCCTTTTGTGAATAGATGGAATACGAAAGAACAAGTTAGTTCATGTCTTCCACTACTATTAGAAAGCTCTAGAAAAGGCTCTCCTTCCAAAGTCAGACAGACTTTGTATAGACTAACTGTATGATATTGGGTTTCACTCTCTGCCCCTGTGTTTCCTATCAATAACATAGAGATAGAAATCCAGTCTCAGAGAGTTGAAATGGATTAATCATGCACCTCATCCACTCTCTTCCCCTGAATATTCTTTCAACATCTAGTATAACATGATGACAACGGAGCTGAACTCTTCCATGGAACCATGATGGCCTCTGTACTATAAGTAATTACACCATCATCTTCAACCTGCACTAGTTGTTCTCCATTTCCATGCAGACCCTCGGTGTTACTTAACTCTTTCCTTTATGTTAGAGATTGTTATCACTCAGTATTCTCAATGGCAAATGACAAACTTAAAAAGTGATTTTTACCTCATTGTTCTTCTTGACACAGTTTATGTAATAATAAATTAATAATGTAGGTACAAACATCCCATTTTATACAAAAATGCAACTGAGTCTTACAGTAGCTAACTTATCCAACAGCACTGAATTATGGAAATGGAGTTACCTTCCAACTAATTTGCACTTACTTTAGAAAACTTGTTCCTGTTTTATCCGTGGGCAATTCTTTACTGTATAATAATATCTCAACTTATATATGCTGTACTGAACTGCCTATAGCTTTAAGAATTCTTCGTTCTTCAATGAGGAAAAAAATTACCTCTTGAATTTCATGACTGAGCAACATGACTCAGAAAAGTCAAGTGAATTCATAGTAGAAATCAGTGCTTCTGACTCCTAATGTCAATCGAGGGCACTTTCAAAAAAATCTGTTGTATAACCATCAGAATAGACTTTGAAAGAATTTTTTAACCCCATAAAATGAAATAAGAGCTCTTTTCTGGCTTAACTCCATCATGTCTGAAATTTAGTAAAACACAGGTTAGAATAGGTTACCTAGTTATTATTGCAATAGAACTGCTCATATTTATCATCAAAGTTTAAAAAGAAAAACCATAAGCAATGACTGTAAGTATTGATAAGAAGCATCTTACAACATGGAACTGAGTCAGAATTAAAATTTTAAAACATGATGTCCATTGAAAAATGACTACTGATATTTTTGAGAGGTGGGTAATTAAAAGAAACATGAAATGAGTATAATTAAATATTTTATTTTATTTCTAATGAAAGTCTAAATATGGATCTAATCAATAAGAAGATTTTTGTGAACTCTACCTTCCCCAGTATGATCAGAAATTTTCTGAATATCTGGCAAAACAACACAAGTGAAGTCTGTTAAATAATACAGTTTTTTTCTTCAAATTATTTTTCCAGACTCCCTGCCAAACCAAACATATGGTGAGTGTTAGTCAGCTGGGTCTGCCTCAATTCATCAGTTGCATGAACTGCACTGATTTTAGTGCCAGACCTATTACACTAAAGTCCACTGTTTTCAAAACCGAACTCCAAACATCCTTTTAAACCTAAAGAACATTCTAAATGTAGCATAAATGTGTAATATTTTTTAATTTCTTATTTTTTCCTTTTCCAAACTTTGAGACCTTTTCTTTTCAGCAGACAACATTGTAAGTTCTTTTGGTACCTCTTATCAGAAAGGTACAATGGAGACTTTTATCTTTTGATACAAAGTAAAAGAAAAGCCAAGATTCATCTTCATTATTTTTTGTCAAGATCTTACTTAAACACCCATAAAAGTAATAAGAGATTTTAGAATAATTTGACAAGAAATATTATCAGATGTTTGGAATTCAAGATTTTAATGTACAAAAGTGAATGTCACTGCTTTTTCCATGGTGCTCTGTCACTAGTAAAGTTACTCATGTTTCATAAAATATAAATCACTGATCCATCTGATAATGCTTTTACTCCTCATGTAGAGAATATAGATAGAAAAGATAAAGTTACTGACATCATTAACATTGTTTTAGTTCTGAGGGGGAAAAAAAACCCTAAATCTCTTTCCATGAGGAAATGCAATTTTGTTATAACAAAAATATACTGATTTAACAGCCACAATGTAATTCTGACGCAACTTCTGAAAGATTTTATTATCACCTTATGCCATCTTCTAGTAATTACAACATTAAGTTGATCAAGTATAGATACATGACTTTACTTACCTAATTTAAATATTATATAATTCAAAAATAGCATTGTCTCATATAATCTCATTCAGCCAGATTAAGAGTTGGTCCCAATGGAATAGAATTGAAAACCCAGAAATGAGCCCACAGACCTATAGTCATCTAATCTTCGATAAGGGAGCTAAAAAAAAAAAAAAATGGAATAAAGAAAGCCTCTTCAGTAAATGGTGCTGCCTAAATTGGTTAATCCCTTGTAGAAAACTAAAGCTAGATCCTTATAGATTACCCTGCACCAGGATCAACTCCAAATGGATCAAAGACCTCGAAGTCAAAGCAGACATCCTGAAAACATTATAGGACAGAATAGGAGAAACCCTAGGTCTGGTTGGCACAGGCCGAAATTTTCTTAATAGAGACCCAGAAACACAACAAATCAAATAAAAGTTGGACAAATGGGATTGCATGAAATTGCAGAGCTTCTGCATGGCAAAGGACATAGCTAGCAAGATCAATAGAAAGCCCACAGATTGGGAGATCTTCACTAGCCATAAACGGACAAGGGTCTCATATCTAAAAGATACCTGGAACTCAAAAAATTAAATCCCCCAACAACAATCCTCAAAGAAACAACTGCTCAATAAATAAGTGGGCTAAAGACTTAAAGAGAAATTTCTCTGAAGAGGAAAGAAGGATGGCCAATAGACACATGAAGAAATGCTCACCCTCCCTAGCCAAAAAAGAAATGCATATCAAAACAACACTGAGATACCACCTCACAACACTGAGATACTACCTCATCCCAGTTAGAATGGTTATAATCAAGAACTCTAATAACAACAGATGCTGGAGGGGATGTGGACAGAAGGGAACCCTACTGCATTGTTCGTTGGAGTGTAAACTTGTTCAACCACTTTGGAAAGTAGTATGGAGGTTCCTCAAAAGACACCACATAGAGCTCCCCATGACCCAGCAATACCACTTTTGAGCATTTACCCAAATGATCACAAACAAGACCATGCTAAAGCTACCAGTACAACTATGTTTATTGCAGCATTATTTGCCATAGCTAAGATATGGAACCAATCCTGATGCCCCTCAGTAAATGAATGGATCAAGAATATGTGGTATATATACACAATTGAATTCTATGCCTCCATCAGAAAGAATAACATTGCCCCATTTGTTAGGAAATGGAAAGACTTGGAAAAAGTTATACTAAGTGAAGTAAGCCAGGCCCAAAGAAACGTAGGTCTTATGGATTCCCTCATTTGCAATAACTAGTATATGTTTGAGACAAGCAGAAACGGTCAGATAAGTTGATGTTAGGCAAAATGAACCATAAGACATGTATTCAAATGTTTTTTTTCTTTCATGTGATTGTTTCTAACATATTTATAAGATGATTTCTTTGTTGCTTTGTAGGTCCCTCCCCATGGTATAACTCCTGCTTTCACTGTATTTGATGCCGGTATAATTTGTGGAGGGGAAGGGAAAAAACAAATCGTTTAAATAGGGATAGGATAGGTGGACCCATTGCAACAATGAAATGTACAAGTCCTTATGTCAAAAACGAACTTTACAACTTTGGGGGGGGAGGGAGGATGGGAAGCGAAGGGAAGGGGAAACAAAGGAGGCTGCAATGCTTGATAAGAAATGTACTCATTATCTTGTCCATGTAATTGTAAACCCTCTGTACAGTATTTTCACAATAAAAAAAAAAAAAGGAGGCAACAATGCTTGATAAGAAATGTACTCATTACCTTGCTCATGTGATTGTAACCCTCTGGATGGTACGGCCCCTGGTGGCTCATGCCTGTCATCCTTGCAGTCAGGAGGCTGAGACCCACAGGGTAAGGTTTAAACCAGCCAGAATAGAATAGGCCGTGAGACTTTCTGCCTCTAGTCAACGCTACATAGTCTTCTTTTTTTTTTTTTACAGGAAAACTCTTCTAGGTCTCTCGAGTCCACTCTACTGTAATTCTTCTCCCATATATCACTAAATCTATTCTTGTTGAGATCACCAGTGACTATCATGTTGCTAAATCAATAAAACACTTTCCAATCTTTATATTATTAACAATCCAGCAACAATTTGATAGAGGTGGCTGCTCCTTGTCTAGTAAACACTTTTTTCATGACAAATTACCATAATCCTGATTCTAAGGTTTTTGTTATAGGCCACATTTTTATCTTCTTTTCATGTCTCCCATCCTTCTTTCCAACTTCTGAATAATGAAATAGCCAAGCACTCGATTCTATTATCTCTTCTATAACCTAATTTCTTTCTTTCTGTCTCATTTATTCATTGGCATCTTTCAATGTAGCCCAAACAGGTCTTCTACACACCCAGTCCAATTATATATCATCTTTCAACTTGGATGTGTAATAGACATCTCACTTACCATACCTGCTACTTTCTATCACTCAATAGTTTTATAAACTTGAAAGAAAAAAATAGCAAATAAGAAAATGGAACAAAATTGTCATATTCGCAGTTACTCATGTTTACTACTAACAAAAAGTATTAAAATAAAATTTCCCAAATATACATACTAGTTTAGGAACTTGATTAATTTAATATACATACTATACTTTAATTTGACAACTAAGATAATTACTTCAATCAATTCAATTTTGCTTAAAAATGATTTTTAATTAAATAATGCCATTTAATACTAATTAAAAGACGATTCGCCAGCCACTGGTGGCACATGCCTCTAATCCTAATTACTTAAGAGGCTGAGATCTGAGAATCACAATTCAAAGCCAGATAGGAGAGGAATGTTTGTGAGATTCTTTTTTTTTTTTTTAACACTGAATCCAGATATTTTTATTAAGACAATTTTTTCTTAAGCTTTCTTACACTGTCTTGATGCTTCTTCAGTTTGGAGATTTGTTCTCCTTTAATTTCCATTTTCTTGATTAGATGCTCTAGTTCACATTCTATATCATCACAGACTGAATGACTTTGAGATTCCTTCATTTGTTTCAGTAGTTCACGTTCCATATTCATTTGGTCCAGCTCATCTTCCATCGCCATTAAAATTTCGGACAAATTGTCACAAATGGAAATGGACTTTCCTGAGCCACAAGGTACAGTTTTACCCTGGGAAGCTGTTCTGGCAGGCTTGTGGAGGCGTCTTGGCTCAAACACCTGAACAGGTTTCTGATGATGTGGGCCATGGTGATACATCATCTGCAGAAGGGTTTGTATACCTGCATTCACAGAATAGCCTGCACTGGCCGGCTTTTCAGGTACAAAAGGTGGTGCTCTAAGCTTTGAATACATTTGCTGTGATGGGCCTCTTTTTAAAGTTTTCTTTGATGACTTCTTCTTTTCCTTGGAGAGTTTTGAATTTGAAACTGAAGACATTAAAATTTTACTTATTTCAAGCCCAGTTTGAAGCTTAGAAGCTTTGTCTTGAAACAGTTTACGATGATGTTCTTCTTCCCTAAGCTTTTCCTCTAGATATTTAATCCTGTCCTCAGCAGTTTTTTGAGTAGTTGTCAATCTAATGCATTCTTTCTCTAAGACATTGAGCTTTTCAAGTTTTGCATGTAGCTTCATCTGATCTTGTTCTTTTTCCTTTTGAAGCTGGGCCTGTTGTTCCAGGATCACAGTCTTTTCTCGCTCAACATTGAGAACCATTCTCTTTGTATATTCTAGTTGTTTCTCTAGAAGAGTACAACGAGACTGGGCTGCACTTAATTGTATACTTATATCCTTTTTCTGCTTTATCAGTTCCTGATGTGCCAGATTTCTCTTATTTGTTTCATTCTCCAAGGCCTTTTTGTATTCTGCTGCTTCTCTTGAGAGGATATTCAGCTTATCTTCAGCTTGTGTTCTCTCTAGCTCTAAACGACGAATCTTTTCCTGAAGACTTTTTAAGGCTAAAATAAGAGCTTGGCTATTTGGACTCTGAAGCATTTTAGGAGAGATAACTTCTAAGTTCAGAGGGTAGCAACTCTGAGATGATTCATTCTGGGTGAATGGTGGAGCAAACACTCTTTCTGGAGGTTTAAGATAGCTTCCAACTACACTATGTACTAATTCAGAATCCATTATTCTGAAAGAAGATGAAACAAGTCCAAAAAATTCTGATGCAAAAATCTTACGTGGTTCAGGAGAAGAGTGATTCTGTGTTCAGTAAGGTGATGGTCATGCTAATTCTTTCTTAGTCTTGAGAAAAGAGAAGTTGGACCGAAGCTTTCAGTCAACCCTTTCCAACCGTTGGAAGCTACCGTTTCTGAGACTCTTATCTCTAATAAACTACCAAAAAAATAAAAATAAAAGGCCAGGATTCTATCTGTGGTTCAAGTAGAGCATTAGCCTTGAACAGTAAAAGCTCAGGGATAGTGCCCAGGTTCTGAGTTCAGTATGTAATGTTGGAAATTCTGTAAAATTTTATTTATAACTTTGTAATACTTATACATTTATAGCTGTAATATCATTTATATTTATAATAGCTATAAAGTTTCATACATTTATGTAAAGTACTTTGATTATTCTCATCACTATTACTCTATCTTGTTCCCTCTGTAGCTTCCTACCTATTCTCAAGTAGTCTTCTTTCTAAATTCATGAACTTTTCTGTTCATTTTTTTAAATTTAATTTAATTTAATTTTTTGTGAACATACTGTACAAAGGGGTTACAATTACATGGGCAGGATAATGCGTACATTTCTTATCAAGCATTGCAGCCTCCTCCTTTGTTTACCCTTCACATCCCTTCCCAGCCTCCCCCCCACCCCCCCACCCAATCCTCCCCCCACCCCCCCACCCAACCCCCCACCAACGTTGTAAAGTTCGTTTTCGACATGACAACTTTCTGTTCATTTCTTGATGGGAATACATGTACACACAAATCATGAGTATGCAGTTATCTCTATTTTTATTTGGACTTGCTATCCTCCAGGTATATGCTAGGAGAGGAGTAGGCTCATATTGGAGATCTACCTGTGGAGGAGTCTCCACACTGATTTCCATAATGGCTAGAAGAATTCATATTCCCCAAAGTAATAGATAATATTTACTCTTTTTCCCCTTAGCCCACATCCTACTGCCTCACCAGCATTTATCAGCAACAGCATTTTAAATAAATTCTGATGTTAATTATTTTGGTAAGTATTGAACTCTTGAGCTTTAAGTTGTTTTTTGTTTTGTAGCTATTGATCTTATTGCAGAAAATGCAGTTCTATTTCTGGCCTTAATTTTATAACTGGTCTATAAATTCATTTCCATTTCCAAGATAGAGGGGATGCAGCTGATCTAATCTAACATTGTATTTCAGAGGAATGAAGGTTTATTCTTTATAAATCTCATTGTCTCCTAGGTATCTAGTGTTTAAATGATTATCTCCAGTTTGAGATTCAGGAAGGCAAATTTTTATATTTCCACCAAAAAGTTTGAGGTCTCTTGGTCTAATTTACTTGCTTAGTAGAACATTTTTAAAAAGCAAAACATGTAAACACCAAGGAAATTCAAATTTACAAGGCTAATTCATAAAATTTCAACTTGAATACATTTTTATCAAATTGCTAATCCCCCATTTTACTTTGAGTCTTTTTCATACTTATACATTTAATATCTTCTCAATTTCCTTGTCTTAATATATATGGTTTTTGGGGGAGCAGCACTTCTAAAGATTAAATGCAGGACTTCCCATTTTATAGGAAGGTGTCCTACAGTTTGAGACATACTTCAATTCTCTTTTTGTATTGTTTATTTATGCCTAGTCTGTCTTGGGGTATAATCCTTCTATTTATGTTTCCCCATATAGCTTGCGATAACACTGTGTTCCAGTGTGCCCAGCACTGTGCTTTACTCATAGCTGAGATAACATGTTCCCACCACCATACTCAGCCATTAGTTAAGATGAAGTCTTATACCCTTCTTTATACCCAGGCTGGCCTCAAATGACAATCTCCTGATTTCTGCCTCTGGAGAAGCTAGGACTGAAGGCTTGAGTAATTGCTCCTGGCTTATATAGGATTCTATCATACATTTTACTTTCAGTGAATATTGTAACTGGAACATTTCATGTGTCACTGAATATTGTTTTCTGGTTATCTTATAGCTTTAAGTTATTGGTAGAGAAATATTAGGGCAAAAAATATACATTTTCCTCAGTAATTTCTCAGCAATGTAAGAAGAGTTGTTTTTTATTACTAATCTTATTATGTAGCATATTTTTACTTGCCAAGTATTATTTAAAAAATAAGCATTTGTGCTATGCACCAGGTCTCAACCATAGACCATGAATTTCAGTCACAGTTTAACTCCAAAGCTCTTTCTCTTAATGGTATTTTCACTTGACTTGATTGCATACTAGAAGATTGTTGTCTACTTTCTACATGTAGAAATGAAAATGAAAATGACATCATTTTATTTAAATGAAGTTGTGTTGAAAAGAATGTATTTCATGTGTTCCATTTGTGTCTGAAATTTTTTCCATTTGTGCACTGTAAATACCCAATTCCAAGGATCTTCAAACAGGCTTAGTCCAAGCTTTTTGGTTCAATTGGATGATATTGTTAACTTGAAAAAGGACCCTTTTAACAAGTGTAATCATAATTTTGTTTTCCAGAAATATATGGATAATCTTGGTGATGGATTTTAACCCCCAGTAAATCTGTTTGCTAACAAACACTGGAAAATGCATATACCATCAACTCAAAGATGCTTTGCTGTTACCTTTGAGGATTACAGAGTGGCATTCCATCATAAAGTGCACATATATATATATATATATATATAGTAAGTGTGCTAAAATTGATGAGTGAGGGTCTCCAATTCAAGTGGTTTGTAGAGCAGCAATGATAAGGTGAATATTATAAAGTGCAATCCTTTTCTTATTCTCTATTGTGATATGCAACCAAATGATGTATTATTAATTTTGACATTGATAGGGAAGTCCCTTTACAACAACAGCATACATTTTTTAAAGGTCTCATAGTTAAAACATTATCAGGAAACTTCAATATCCTTACTGGAATAATAATTTAAAAATGTAAATATCAGTCACTGGAAAAGACCTTTCCATGGGCATGGATCTCTTAGTGTTAAAAATCATAAAATTTGAATGCATTAGTATCTACTTAAGAAATGCAGAAGTAGGAGGAAATAATTAGAAAAAAATCTCAAGAATGAAAAGCAAATAATCTTTAAGAAGTGTGTAAATTTCTGAAATCTGCCTCCCTCCTTGACTGTATCCAAAAGGTTTAAAGTGCTAAGTTGAAGCTAATGGTAGGACATAATGAGTGAGCTGTTTGAATTATACTGGGAGTTGTTGATTGCTTTTGTGTTCAACTGCATTTTACTGTGTAAATGAGCTTTTCATCATATTTTTAGAATCCATGGTTTCTTTGATGATATATTAGCATTCCTACTCTAAAATACCTTGATTCACTTTTAATATTTTATGTTTTAAGCTTAAGATGTTTACCATACAATGGAAGCTTAATTGAATGCATACTATGTCAAAGTCTTAGAAAATGATGAATAGCCTTTCAGTGTATACTACAAACATAAATCTTTTGATAGTAAATCATATCATCAGAATCAGTGCTACCTACACAATGAATGAGACTAAATCTACAAAATGTATTTTATAACCAGTGAGCACTTGGAGAAGAACATAAATTTACTGAACTGTTGAATCAGTTCACTTCCTGAAAGTTTTTGGTACACATAGATCATGCACACATATAGGTAATTTGTATGTGTGTGTGTGTATATATATATATATATATATGTGTGTGTGTGTGTGTGTGTGTGTGTATGTATTTCATTTTTTATGGTGTGAGGGTTGATTTAATAGACTACACAGTAGAAAATATGTTGTGTCATGAAGTATTTTTAGATTCAAGTAGTTAAGAAGAAAATGAAATGAAAACTCTATATAGAGCTAAAACTCCCCATTTCCTCACATTCCATCCCAAACTATCACCTCTTTTTATAAGAAGCATTTATTTAGTTACTTAATTTTATGGCAAGTCTTGGGATTAAATTCAAGATCTGATGCTTCCCTAAGGAGGCACTTTTCCCACTTGAGCCGTCCCTCTAACTCTTTTATGTGCTGATTATTTTCAAGTTAGGGTCTATGCCAAAAACAGCCTGAGCTGTCATCCATCTACTTGTGCTTTCCTGTGTCACTGAACATGATGGGCATGTGTCAGTGGACTCAGCTATTGCGCTTCCCTTACAGCTGTAGGTCACCATTCCCAGACACTGATTGAGATGGAGGTCCATGACCTTTTATGCCCAAACTGGCTTTAAACTCCTGTCCTCCAATCTCTATTTCTCAAACAGTTGGATTATAGGTATGTGTCACAGTACCTAGCTAAGAAGTATTATATTAGAAAAAAATGTTAAGATTTATGTTACAGTTTAGGGATGTTAGATTCCAGAGATCCTAAAAGAATGACTTAACATTTATAATAGATAGATATGTATGTAAATAAACTACATTAAGTAATATAAGGGCTATAAGAGAAAACAAATACCCCTGAAGGCAAAGAATTTACCAGAAAATTATTTTAAGCATTTAAAGGTATTCTAGTAAAAGATATAAAACTGATGCTGTTTTAGGATGTAAGAAAGAATTTAATGTAAGAAACAATATAAGACATGCCATTTACACTTTAACTTAGAAGACATATGGTAGAATCTAATGTATTCACATAGGAATGAGACATTATAAATTGAGATTTCAGGATGAAAAAATATCTAGCCATAGAGTGGAGGATAGATTTACAGGAATAGAAGAAAGAGGTTTTTGTTGTTTTGTTTTCTGTTTTTTCCCCCTTCTGTGGGTCTTAAACTCTGGGCCTGGGCACTGTCGCTGAGCTCTTCAGCTCAAGGCAAGTGCTTTACCACTTGAACCACAGCGCCACTTCTGGGTTTCTGGCGGTTAATTGGAGATAAGAGTTTCATGGACTACTTTCCTGCCCAGGCTGGCTTTAAACCTCAATCCTCAGATCTCAGCCTCCTGAGTAGCTAGGATTACAGGCATGAGCTACCCACTAGTGCCCAGCTTAGAACATGAAAGTTGTATTGACAATTTATATGAACAAAAATAAGACAAGTCCAAATGTATAGAATATTTTAATAACAATAAAGAATAGAACACGTATGAAGCATATAGAAAATCAGAATAGAAAATCAAGTGTATAGAGCAGAAAGTTAAAAGTTAATTTTGACAGAAT